GGCCATTTTTTGGTTTCAGCCATCGTTGTTTGGCGGGCCGGGCTGGGGATTCGAACCCACCACCTTAGGTGTATGTGGCTGGCGCCTTAGCCAATTGAGCCACAGGCGCTGAGCCAGATCTTAGTTATTCTTAATCTGATCTTTCTCCTATGCCATTCCTTTGCAAGGGAATGTCATTTAGTTAAGATCTTATTATGCATTGTTTCTGAAGAGATACAAAAGACATTTCTGATGGTTGTGTCCTTGGCTTGTGTTGTTTAAATGGCACCCAGAAAGTTTGCTTAAGTCTGGAGTTATAGGGCCCCAGCTTCTGTTGGTATCTCAGAAATAAGGCAGCTCTCCTGCCAGGTGAGTTCTTGCCTCTTTGTGAAATGTTGAGCAGAAGATCCAGGTCTTGCTCTGCTGAGGCTTGTGTGGCAAGAGCTGTGCAGAGGTGTTAGGGAAGGGGCAAGCCTCACCTCTGAGCGTAGTGCCCTTTGCCACCTTTGGTCCTGCTGGTGCAGAAGGCTGTGTTGGCTGCTGCTGGGGTAGCATGGACTATTTGCTATGGAATGGCCAGACAGGCCAGAGGGGCTAAGATAAGCCAGTGGTCCCACAGAGCTAGGACTTCTCCCCAGGCAGAGACAGGCCTGCAGTGACACAGCTGTGGTACTGTGTTTTGTCTATCCTTCTGCTTTACGTGTCCTGCCCTCATAAGAGGGTGAATTAGATAATCTGAGTCCTGAAAGAAGAGAAAGATAATGCTGCCTTAGGATTCTCGTGTGTGTTTCACATTTCATTTCACAGTCCTCTGGTCATACATTCTTTATGACAACCCTTCGAAGTGCCCTTGTTTTTAAGAAGACACTAAGGCCCACAAAGGGACGAGGTGACCTCCTGGAGTGAGAACCCAGGATTTTTACTTTTTAGCCTAGGGTCTTTTGTGGTATCACCCTTGCCTTGCTACCCACGCCCATATAACTTGATGGAGCCTGTGTTCTGAGCCCAGACAGGAGGCTGGCAAGTGAGGGAGGAATGTGCAGATCTTTGGGGGCCCTCTCCAGCTCCCGCATCACTTATCAGAGGAAAAGACCTCTTTTAGCCCCCACATTCCTCACCCTTGGCAGTGTCTCAAACTTTTCCAGTGGCTGATTGTGTCCTTTTGTTCAAAACTTTCTGAATCTGGCAGCTTGAAAGTAGGGCTGGGCCAGAGCCAAGCCAACAGTTTCCCCCAGGATTAGAGCCAGGAGTTGGAGACTGAGTCAAGTAAGTGAGAGTTCATTGCAATTAGCTAGTTCCAGGGTAATTGAAGACAAGGGTGGGTGGGAGGGCATCGCCTATTGCTCATGGGGCCCTAAGGCCCTCGGTGCCTTTACCATCAGTCTGGAAGACGAGAGGTGCAAAATGTCTTCTCAGCTGAGAGTGAGCAATGTGACCCTCAAGAAAACATTTGACTTTGGTTTGTAAACTGCTAAAGATTGGGCTTGAGAGAGTCTGGTGTTCTCTCTAGGCACCAGACTTCCAGGCCTTGTTCAGGAGCAGTCTTATTCTCCACTTACTTGAGGCCAAAAAGCAGGCTTCAGGTCCCCTTCCTGGCCCTGAGCCCCCACTCTGTCCAGCCTCAGAGGTGGCTGGCTACCTGGAGCCTGGAATGTCCAATGCACGATAAATAGTCATGGACTGGAAGTGAGGGGACCCAGACCTGAGTCACAACATAGCCACAGACAATCCACCTTACGTAGGTAACCTTGGGCTAGCCTTCTCTGAGTTTCAGTTTTCTCATTTACTCAGTAAAGAAGCAGCTGATCTAGAACTTTGAGAAAAGGGGAGGGGAGCAAAGAAAGGGGAAGCATTCTTTTCACCCTTGTTCACTGTGCACGCTTAGCTTTTTTTTTTTTTTTTTTTTTAACTTCCTCAGAACCCTTTCTTCTTTCTCTCCTGTCTCTGCCTCAGGCCAGGTCTCTCTGAAGAGGGAGGATCCCCTGGGTGGGACTGGGCTAGGCAGATGTACCTTTGATATTTAGAACATAATGCTGTCTCTACTTGCTTCAGATGTGAATTAACTAACCCTGTGCTGATACTTTGTTTCATTAAGAGTTTATCAATTCTTGCCAAGAGGTAGCTCCTTGAACTGGCGGTTGCTAGGCCTAGGGAAGGAGGCAGTGAGTGCACACCCAGCAGGAGAGCGGCAGTGGCAGGCACCCATGGCTTGCTTTCTGACTATCCGATCCCTGTGGTTGCAATCACATAGTACTTTAGGGTCTTCTGATGGGATGCCAGAGCTGAGACAACCTCATAGAATTTCTCTTTCCTCCTTCTGTCTATGCAGATGAGACCCAGGCCCAGAATGTCCTCATGGCTTATGTCAGACTGTCCTGCTAGTGAGTAATGGAGCCAGGACCCTACCTAAGGTCACCTAAGTCCCAAGCTTGTGTGTTTTCATTAATGTCAAGATAGCCCTGTCCAAATTTACCTTGCTACTGAGGTGAAATTGAGTGACTATAAGTTAGTTCTAACTCTGCTTCACTGTGGAGTTTGAAGAGTAAAATTCAGATCATTTCATTTGATACTTACTGATTACCAGGATCTGTGTTAAGTGTGGGGGTTGCAGGAATGAACAAGACAGCAGCCCTGTACTCAGATTGTGCCACCATATTATGGAGACTGGTACGTGACTAAAGTACATGAAATCCATTTGTGCAGTGTGTCATGTGCATATCCTGTTCATGCCATTTAACCAGAGATGGGGGAGCAGTCAACTGTCGGAGCTTTCAGGAAGGGCTTTTGGGAGAAAGTGTTATTTGTGCTGGGCCTTACAAATAAGTAGGCATTTGCCTAGTTGGGGTGGGTGGGGAGAGCACTGTGTAAACACTGTGGGCAGCAGTGTGACCATGCATAGGGAGTGGTCTGGCCAGGTGCTACAGTGGCAGGGGATGACGCCAGAAGGGTGGGCTGAACCTCAGCTGTGTAGGCCCATGTCAGCTATGCCAAGACTTTATTTAACATTAGAGTCTGAAGGCAAGGGGAGGATGGGTAAAGCCTGGCTGTGTTAGGATCACTGTGGATACAGCATGGAAAATAAAGCAGACAGGACAAGAACAAAAAACAAAGTCACATTCAGTTTAGTGGGTTTTTTTAATAGTCTAGATACAAAATAATAGGGAACAGGGCTTGGTCAGTAGAAGTGAGAATAGGATGGACAGAAGACACATTTCATAAGGTGGACAGAACTTCTAGACTGTTTAGGTGTAGAGAGTGAGAGTGGACTCCCAGTTCCTTCCTCCACTAAGCTAGGGAACCCTGGAGGAGAAATTGACTTTAGTCATGGTCCCTTGTGGATACAGTGAGACAGTGATGCCTACAAAATCCCCAAGTGGAAACGTTGGGTCAGGAACAGCCATAAGGACTCAAAAGTCAATACTGAGCTGGTGGGTGAGGTGCTGGAAATAGGGGAGGTCACCCAGGAAGGGAGTGTGTATTGAGAGAATCCACTTAAGTGGCAGGAAAAGAAAAGAAAGCAGCTCTTGCCTAGAATCCTAGCACTCTGGGAGGCTAAGGTGGGAGGATCCCTTGAGCTCAGGAGTTTGAGACCAGCTTAAGTAGAGTGAGACCCCATTTCTAGTAAAAATAGAAAAATAGCTGGGTGTTGTGGCACATGCTATTCAGGAAGCTGAGACAGGATTGAATGAACTCTGGAGTTTGAGGTTGCTGTGAGCTAGACTGATACCTTGGCATTCTAGCCTAGGGCAGCAGAGTGAGGATCTGTCTCAAAAAAAAAAGGAAAAAAAAAGAAAGAAGAAGTAAGAACAAAGGAGGTAAAGAATAGATCTTAGCAGGTGAGGGTCTTGAGTGGTGCCAGCTCACTATGGGCTGAGATGAGGAATGGGACAGGGATCAGCCTGCACAAGAGGCCATGGAGAAAGGGACATCTTCCTTTGACTTCCTCGGTAGGACAAGTGGTCTGTGTAAGGACTTCGCTTCATTAGTCTGCACTGGCTAGCAGAGAGGGATGGAGTCTTTGGCACTTGGGAAATGTTATAATCTGCATGACTGCAAATGACTCAAAACTTTACTCAACTTTTTGAAGGGCCAGGGGTCTTGGCTGCATTTTCTGGAGATCAACTTTTGGCAGCTAAAGAAGCCCCAGGGTTTCTGGGTGGCCCTGTTCTGCCAGTAGAGCTACTGAGCTTGGGGCATAGGCGGGACTGAAGAGCCCCGCCTCTGGCCCTCTATTGCCTGCCTGCTCACCCCTGGGTCAGCCTCTTTCTTAGCAGCAGCAGCAAGGGTGTGAATCCTGTGGATGGTGAGTGCTGGTTTGAATCACCTGAGGCTGGGGATAAGGGACCATGTTGGGAGGGCACTTGCCTTATGCAGGAAAGAGACAGAGTCTCAAAGCTGTACACGGACATGGGCAAGGGGGGGAGGGTGGTTATGAATAGGAACTAAGAATGTTCTGACTCCGAGGTGAGCTGCTTTTGTTAAAATTATAGGATGTCACTCCATTCCATGGAGCCCATAGGATGTCCTAAGGGTTTTAGGAACCTTAGCACTGACCATCCAACCCTCTCATTTTGAACTTGAGGTAAATGGGGCCTGGGATGGGACTGAAACAGCTTAGCCTAGGGAACCTTACTGGGTTTCTCCACGCCTCACTCCTGTTCGCTTCACAGACGGAGCTGCCACGCTGAGCTGCTACAGCTGGTGTGTGTTTGTGGCCTTATCCTGCTTCACCTTCTGTGGGAGAGGGTGGATCAGATAAGTCCTGCAAGTGGGGAGCTGAGTACTGTAGCCATGTCTGGTGGGGGCCAGCTCTTCTGTAAACAACCTTGCTATTCTGTCTCAGAGGAGCTGGCCCGTTCCTTAATGGGAAGGGAAAGAAAGGGGAGGAAAGAGAAGGGACATCTGGTGTATGGTAAATTTCCTTTAGAGTAATCGTGGTTTGACTGTGTATGTATTTGATGACTAAAACAGTAAGTTTTTTTTTTTTTTTAATTTAAGACAAAGGAAATCATACCCCCTGACCTCCAGAAGTCCACTTGTGAATGTGTGGGAAGGCTATAAGCTTGAGTCCTGTTGCTGTTGACCTGGATCCAGGTTGTAGGACTGTGGCCTGATGGTTCTGACAGTAGAGAAGTTACTGAACTCTGAACCTCAGTGTTGTCAGCTCCTAAACAGGGTAATCACTGCATCACAGGCCTGTTGAGTGAATGAAATTAGGTCATGTGTGTCAAAAGACACTAAGTAAATGTGGTCTACTGGCCTGCTTACCAGGGAGTGGTCTTAGAATGGTCTTAGAAGGGGAGGTCATTGTGTGTATGTCCAAGTGAAAACCCATTGTTCTATTTAGATAATTAAGCCTCCTCTACTTACCCTTTCTTGTGGGTGGCAATAACAGATTCAGGGTCTGCTCATACCGCAGCCAGTTAGAGTGGTACATGCTTCAAGAGGTGCTTGGGGGACTTGGCTGAGGGGCTGGACCTGCACATTCTATAGGTGTTCCCAGAAGTGAATTTTCACAGCTTCTTTCTGGCAGAAGAGCCAGCTGCTAGAGGCCCACTGGAAGCTCCTTTCCAAAGGGATGTTTCTCTGCTCACACCTTCTGTATCCTAGCCCCGGGGTGAGGGTAGGGAGTAGAAAACAGCACTTCTGGGGGGTTTTAGGCCCAAATGTTATGCCCTAGCTCTTGAACTTAGGGTAGAAAGATAGAGACCTTTGGGACATAGAACTTTGAGTTCCCAGGGAGCCTTCAAAACTGACATCAGTCCCAGTCAGCCTGCTGCTTCCCAGGCTCAGTCGGCCCAGTCCCAGCCTGGCTCTTCCATGCTGCCTCCTGTGTTCCACACCAGCTCCGAAGCTACTTCCTTCTGGGTGTTTCTGCGCTGCCCAGTCTGGCTCTCATCCTTTCGCTGCTATAGCCTCATGTTCATACCTTGCTTAAGCTGCGCCCTTCCTACTATTATTTGTGCACCAGATCTGTATCTCCTTGAGGATTGTGTATCATTTTATGTCCCCTCAAATTGGCATTTATTGAATAAATCAGTGCTGAATAAATATATGGAAATAAACGCTGAGTCTAGTGGAATGGGAATTCCCTTGTTGTACTCAGGAGCAAACAGGCCAAATACCCGTCGATGGGCTGTGGGCAGACAGAGCCTGTTTGCATCTGAGTGCAGCAAGGACATGTGGGAAGGGTGTGGAGCTGATGTAGAGCTGTACGCGGCACCGTGGACTTCCTGGGTGCACTGAGGTGTCCTCCAGTCAAACAGAGTCCATTTATAAGGTAGATGTAAGCTGACTTTTGCATACTGACAAAGAAATCTGTGATCAGAGACCAGTCCATGTGATCCTGAGTCATGCACGCATCCCAGGGACAATTTGGAAGTGCATAAAGGTATGGAAATTGTTCCAGGCTCTAGGGAGTCTCCTGTTTATAGCACACAGGTGAAAGCTGTGGTTTTCCTCCTAATTGTTCTGTGAACTATAGTTGAGTAATGTGTAATTTTGCCACGTGAAAGAATTGCAAGCAGGCCTATGGGAGATTTTTTGTTTTTTTCCTGCTTGGTCCAAGAACTTTGGTTGTCCATAAATCATTTTCATCATTGAATTCTGTTGAATTCATTTCAGCTTGCATTTGTGGTGTGGCCACTGCATACTAAATGTGTACTGTGCTAGGCACGGGAGATTCAAAGGTTAACTGAGGAACAAAGTCAGAGGAGAGAGATCTGTCAGGTCCATATCAGTGTGTGCATCAGAAGGATGGTAGGTGTGGTTTGGGCTGAAGAAGGAGGGGTTAAACATCTCTCCCGAGTTGGGGGTGGGCAGAGCCTCGGGGGAGACTTCATGAGGTAGCTGACTTGTAAAACATAGAATGAGGCAGGATATTCCAGCCAGAAAGTTGGAGATGGGTGTTTGATTCTCACTGTACCTGTCACTGCCCTGCCACAGCAGGCAAAAGGGATGGAACGGCTGGGGAGGGCCCAGCTTTCCAGGCAAGCCTGCCCATGTGACTATCTATACTTTGTTCTGTGGCTTATGGCCAATTGAGCATGAAGTCCTAAATTCTTAAACAATGTTTCTCAAATGTAATGTGCTTATGAATTACCTGCTAGTCTAAGACTAAAATGCAGTTTAAGATTCCTCAGTTCTAAGGGGAGGCTTGACATTCCATGTTTCTGCGTGGTGCCCCAGTGGGTACCTGGTTCATAGACTAAATTCTGAGTAGTGGGTGGTAAGAAACTCTTCTGTCCCAGTTGGAGTCCCTCACTTCAGACACCGTAGCAGCACCTCACCCCAACGCATATACTCACTGACCTCCCTTTCTTTTTTCTCTTTCTAAATATATAGCTGCCCAATTCCTCCTTCTTAAATGCTGTTTCATTTGGTCACCCCCTCATCTGGAAGTTCTCTTCCATTTCTTAAATATGAATTTCCCAGGAAGCCTAATCATTAGGCTGCCCTGCCCTTTCCTTCCCAGTGACATCACCACCAAGTCATTCCCACCTCACCTTGCTGTAGTGTATCCCCACATAGTCCCCTCTCTTGGTAGTGACATTCAGATTTCCAGGTCTTTGTTTAATCCTTTGGAGAAATACTCTCCTGGCCAAGTCCTACAGGGGAGAATTAAGTTAAGGTGGTGGTTAGATGGACGTACACACACCATCCTGGCACCCAGGTCTGTCCCTGGCAGTGATCTAGGTACACAGAAGCAAGCCGGTCCTTAAAAAGGAAGGCACCAGTATATGTCAGATGCTAGATCCTAGCATGAGGGCCAAATGGAAGGATAGGTAGTACTGCAGGTGCTCATTAGGAGAGGGAAGGCTGGGTGGCTTACTGCTGCTTCCAGGAGCTCCTGCCCACTAGAGGAAGCCTTAGTTACCCAGGCAAGAGGTGGCAATAAGGCTGATTTGGACAGGATCCTCCTGGAACTCTGTTTCAATTCCAGAGACCCTTACCTCCTGCAGATGTCTTTTCCCCAGTCCCCTCCGAAGCAGACACTGTAGCTACCTTGTCCTGATATAACACCTGGTCTCTATTCCCATTCATTTGGCAGACATCTGTGTAGCTCTGTTCATGGGGGAATATCAGTTACACAGAGGTGTTTAGCAGTGACCATCCATCAGTAAATAGTAGCTTGAGAGAATATTTGCCTTCTTGTATTGCTTTTTCACTTTATTTTTACCATGAGCCTGTTTTATTTCCATAATTAGTAAAAAGTAATAATAATAAAGTTATTTTCAATTGGGAGAAATGAACTGAGACTGCCTGCTCCTACCATGTGTGAAACCCTGCTGGGCACTGGCTGGGGGCTTGATGTGTAGGATATTGTGTTGTTTCTGAAAGATTCTCAAATTAAAGAGGAAGAAGGATAGGGTGACGAACAGTGTGATTAGTGTTCTATATATTCTCTCGTCACAGAATAGAAAGCTGCTCCTACCCAGGGAGATAATAGCTGAGTCACCTGGATTGTGAAGGAGAGTTAGGCTTTGAGGAGGAGGCGGAGGAGGAAGCAGTCTGTCTGCAGGGGACACAGCCTGGGACATGAGGAGAGAGAACAGCAAGGAAAGCACCTGAGAAGATTGTCCTCTGTCTGTCATATCCCCACCTCTGGTAGCAGGTCCTTAGCCCAGGCTCATCTCTGATCCTGCTGCTCCCTGTCTCCTGGTCGGCAGCCCGTGCAGTGCCTTGTACAGGAGATCAGATTCTAGCTATCCTGTGGGAGCAGTAACGTCTTCTTCCTCTCAATCTCCAGAAATGTCTTTCCTCCAGGATCCAAGTTTCTTCACCATGGGAATGTGGTCCATCGGCGCAGGAGCCCTGGGTGCTGCTGCCTTGGCACTGCTCCTGGCCAACACTGATGTGTTTCTGTCCAAGCCGCAGAGAGCAGCACTGGAGTATCTGGAGGACATAGACCTGAAAACACTAGACAAGGGTAAGTGGTGACACCCGCCCCCCCCCGTCTCAGTACTTTTCCGAGGTGCTAGGATACAGGCTTACTTATTTTTTCTTTTTAAAATAACCCCCCCCCCCTTTTTTTTTGTTAATTAAAAATGCAGTATAACAAGCTCAGGAGAAAATAATAACACTTTTCAAACTAGTATTAATTCTATTACCCTTACTAATACAATAATCATTTTTAGAGTTATTTTGAGGAATTCCAGACCTGTGGGATTGTCACAAAAAAAGAAGTTCCTGAGTCATACAAAAATTAGAGATACTGTTTATCCAATTCCACGCTCCTGATGCTTAGCACAGGGCCTGGCACACAGATAGGACTTGATAATTGAAATGAGGCAACTGGATTGCTCCTGATCAGAGCATGGTCGTCCCCTCCCTGTGATGAAGCTTCAGCATATGAGGAAATACCCCAAAGTGGCATGTTAGAACAGACATCCTTCTTCTTGGGGAGCTCCCAAAGTCTGTTATGGACAGTTGACAACAACACGCTCAAATGCAGCAGCTCTGCCTCCTTGCCATGTGCTCTGTGTTAGAGCTCTATAGCTTGGTGGGGTTTCTGTCATGCCAGTAGTGTGGCAGGAGAGTTTGGTGAACCTGGGTCTCACTGGGTGATCTCTAGGTTAGCCCCCAGATGGAGGTCATTGTCATCTGTCCATTAAATAAGTAAGAAGGCTTATCCAGAGAAGACAGGAACTGTGATTGTGCAGATTCATGATAAGTCATTTTAGTGAAGAACTAAAGTCCTACAAATAGAGACCTGTCATGCTTTATTCAACCCAGGGCTTCCCAATCTTATCTCATTACACTCTCCCCTACTCACACTCTTTTTTTTTTTTTTCTTTTCATGTAATATTCCACAGGGACATCGATCTTTCTGGGAAATACTAAAATAATAAGGGGCCAGGCTTTGTGGTTCATACCTGTAATCTCAGCACTTTGAGAGGCTCAGGCAGAAGGATCACCTGAGCCCAGGAGTTCAAGACCAGCCTGGGCAATTACAGTGAGACCCCATCTCTACATAAAAACTTTTGAAAAAAAATAGCCAGGCATGGTGGCACATACCTATCATGCCAACTGCTTAGGAGGCTGAGGCAGGAGAATTGCTGAGCCTGGGAGTCCACGACTGCACTGAGCTAAGATCATACCACTGCGGTCCAACCAAGGCAATAGAGCAAAATCCCATCTTGAGCCCTCATGAACTCTTATTACCAGGCACTGTGGTGAGCACTTTTACATTCTTCTTTTAGTAATCCCTACAGGCCAAAGTGGAGCTACCTAGATATCTACATTTTACTAATGAGGAAGCTGAGGTTCAAGAGGAAAAATAGCTAGGGTCACACTAAGGTCTGACCTTCAAGCCTAGCTTCAGCTCCAGTACTCTACTGCCCCAAAGCCTTTCCTTGATGGGCATCCTTCCTCTAGTAACATTGTAGTTAACACATTTAATTTAAGAATTCTTTTTTTAATTCTGTTGACTTAGTTCCTTTGATCTTTTTATTTATTTATTTATTTATTTTGAGACAGCCTCATTCTGCAGGCTAGAGTCCCTAGCTCACAGCAACCTCAGACTCTTGGGTTCGAGTGATCCCTCTTGTTTTAGCATCCCAGGTAGCTGGGACTACAGGTACCTGCCACAACACCTGGCTAGTTTTTTTTTTGGTAGAGACAGGATCTTGCTCTTGCTCAGGCTGCTCTTAAAGTCCAGAGCTCAAAGGATCCTCCTGCATCACCGTCCCAGAGTGGTAGGAGTGTAGGCATGAGCCACCATGCCTGGCCCTTTGAATAAGAGTGAGTTGTGGTTTTGGGGGGTTTTTTTTTGGTCAAAGTACATGGCCTTCTGAGTCGGGATTATTACAACAGATTATTACAATATCCCATGAGATCAGCAATAAAAAAATTGCAAGTGTTCAAGTTTGAAAAGAGATTTTTATGGAGGAGAGGGTCCCATTAACTTTCCTCAGGAAGGTGAATATTCCCTGTGTGTGTTTCCTGTTTATTTCTTCCCACATATGAAATGCCTGTCCAGGCCCTTGGGTAGGCCTGGTTTCTGACATCTTGGCTTAGTGTGGTTTATGAGCTGCTTAGTGATAAGGGCTGGGCTTGGGGAAGGGCATATAAATGAATTTCCTTTTCTTCTCCCTCAGAACCAAGAACTTTCAAAGCAAAAGAGCTATGGGAAAAGAATGGAGCTGTGATCATGGCTGTGAGGAGGCCAGGCTGTTTCCTCTGTCGAGAGGCGAGTATATTTGAGGATCTGTTCAGAGAAAGGGATCCTGACAAGTGGGGGCTACTGCGTTTTCAGCCAGGACTAAAGCCCTATAGACCAACTTTAGCCTTTTATCAATTCTGTTCTCTATTATTTACTCTCGTATTTCTTTTGATTTAAGACTGATTTCTATTTTTGTTTGTTTGTTTTTAACAACTCACCATCTTCTACAGGGGCTAGCAACACATCTGACTTTCCCTTGGTATCCCAAGGTTTCAACCTATGCTTGATGCCCCCAAAGGGACATCATCATCGTCTGTTTATTAGTTGAGGAAGCTGATCAAGGGAAGGCAGGAATTGTGATTATTGAAACACAAAACTCTAGTGTCAAAGGGAACATTTCAAATACTTGGGTAAACTGAGAACTAGAATGGTTTAGGGGCCTTTCTGTAGTCACATAGCCAGTTGGTGGCAGAAGACCAGATGCTGAGATCACTGCCTTTCCTGGGATAAAACTGAAAATGACAGTGTTCCTGCTCTTGAGACAACTTTGCTTTTCTGGTGGTGGTCATGGCCACCCTGTCCACTTGTCATCCTCAATTTTTCTAGTTGCTCTTGCTGATCCTGAGGCATTTCCTTTCAGCCTTGCTAACTTTGCTTATGCTTGTGTGGCTGGGCTGGTGAGGAATCCACTAGGCTGCAAGATGCATTTGGCGCCTGCGGACCCTTAACCTCCAGGGCACTTTTAGGCCTCATGGTTCCTTGTCATGTCCCTTGAAAATACAGCTGCTTGTTAATATTTTCATTTTACAGAGGAGGAAGTAGGTACAGAGGCTGTAACAAAGCCACACTGCCTGGAGAGGTATATTAACTGCCTATCACTGCTGTAATAAGTTGCTACAAACTCAGTGGCTTTAGATAACACAAGTTTATGTAATAGTTCTAAAGGTCAGAATTCCAGTTTTCTTACTTTTAAAAGCTAGAGAGGAGAATCCACTTATTTGCCTTTTCCAGCTTCTATACCAGTGTTTTTCAACCATTTTTTATCTCACAGCACACTTGAACCTATAGTTAAACTTCCATGGTGCACTTAAATTATGTTGATCAAAAAAAAAAGAATATATTTAACATGCTTTGAACTTCTTTCAAAAATAATTTAATTAGGCCAGGCACAGTGGCTCATGCCTGTCACCTTAGCAGTCTGGGAGGCTAAGGCAGGTGGATTGCTTGAGCTCAGGAGTTGGAGACCAGCCTGAGCAAGAATGAGACCCCATCACTACAAAAAATAGAAAAAATTAGCCAGGCATGGTGGCCCAGGCCTGTAGTTCCAGCTACTTAGGAGGCTAAGGCAAGAGGATCACTTGAACCCAGGAGTTTGAGGTTGCTGTGAGCCCTGATACCACGACACTCTGGCCTGGGAAAGAGTGAGTATCTCAAAAAAAAATTAATTAATGATCTTTAAAAATTTTCATGGCATACCTGAGATCCTCTTCACTGGCATTCCAGTTGAAAATCACTGTTTTAGAGGCTACCTGCATTCCTTGGCTGATGGCCCCTTCCTCTGTTTTTAAAGTTAGCAATGGCTAGTCAAGTCTTTCTCATATTGCATTGTTATGACACTGAGTTTTTTGCCTCCCTCTTTCACATCACACCTGTGATTGCATTGGTCCCACCCAGATAATCTAAAATAATCAGTCTCCTTAGTTTAAGGTCATTTGACTAGCAATCTATATTTTACCTCAGCCTTAATAACCGCTTGCCATGTAAAAGAACATATTCCGGGAATTAGAATGTGGACATCTTTAGAGGCTTTTATTATTCTGCCTACCACAGAATGTGGAGTTTCAGCTCAGGGCTTTTGATTCCGAATCTGTGATACCTACAGATACCAGCAGGAAAGCCTGTTTTGACTTGATTTCTTGAGGCCGTTGAAATCCAGAAGGTTCCAAGCACAACAGCAACTCTCCCTAAATAATTACAACCTGTTTTCCTGTGCACTGGTCTGTGTCCTGACAGAACATATTTTGGAAACTCACATTTCAAAAAGGACGAGTGGGTGGCAGTCTATTTAGAATGGCCCAGGCCAGGGAGGAGTGTGACTCAATTTCCACTTCCATGGATCTGGGCCATGCCATACCCAGAGTAAGGAGCCTGGGATACAACCTTTCCTCTCACAGGTATTCTTTGATCATATCAGGTGCTGTAATCCTCTCTGCTCTAGGGCACAATTTGGCAGTCGCTGTAGCTCTTCATAAATGTATTGTAATCAACCTACTTCATTAGTTATTCTTTTTTTCTTATTCCAGAAAATAAATGAAAACAAATTTAGCCACCACCATACAATAGCGTGTTTGTGTTGGAGGTGAATAGACTGCATTTAAAAGGATTCCCTACTGACTTTTTAATTCTGATACCACATGTGAGAAAGGAATTTATTCTTGATACTGAAGTTTTACCATGACTTGTGTAGTTGTGTTTATTCATCCAGCCCACAGTTTAGGAGGGTCAAAGATGTCCGTGCCTCTTAGCTCAGCTGTTGTGGTCCCTGCCTTGTCCACCTTCAAATCTTTCCACCTGGTATTTAGTACCTTCTGTAACTCCAGCCATATACTAGGCACTAAGGGTTCTAAGAAATGGAAGACAGTTTCTATTTGACACATGTAGAATTCTTAGTTATAGCACTCAACTTGGTGGTAACACAGACTTAGTACAAATAATGTCACCAAGCAGGGAAGATACAACATGCATAGAGAAGCAGGGCTTCGCTCCAGCCTGGACTAGCCAGGGAAGTCTTTTTTGAACAGGGATACGTTTCCAGAGGGTAGGGTTGCCCTGGAGAGAGAAGGCAGGGGAGAGGAGCTGATTGAGTGACAGTGTGGAGGCAGCCATCTATGTGGCCTGAGGGCAGTGCCTCTGCTGGGCCTCATGCTAGTTTAGTCTAGTATTAGGGAGGGGCTGACAGATGAGGTAGGGAAGTGACTTAGGCAGGAGCAGAGGATGTGTCTGTGCGCAACCTCTTAGTTATGCCTGCTCCCCAGGCTATGGTTAGAAAACTGTAATAGGAGCCTCGCTTCTCCTTTTCCTCGAGAAGACAAGAAGCCTGGGCTGAGAGGAGTCCTGATACCCTACACTGAGGCCTTGTGCCCAGCTGGGACAGATGTTTGCTAGGCTAAACAGGCGTGAATTGCTTCTGGTGTTTCATTGCCTCTGTTCCTCTGCCTTCTGTGCCAGCCATGCTGGGGAGCCTGTAGGGAAGGCAAGTTTGTTGGCTGTGGAGCCACAGGAACTCATGTCCTTGAACTTCCGTATCTTCTGCAGGAAGCTGCAGACTTGTCGTCATTGAAACCTAAGTTGGAGGAGCTGGGCATCCCGCTCTATGCTGTGGTGAAGGAGCAGATTGGGACTGAAGTGAAGGACTTCCAGCCTTATTTCAAAGGAGAAATCTTCCTGGATGAAAAGGTGCGGGTGCTGTAGGCCTGTTGGTCACAGACCATTAGAGATCGTGCATGGCTGGGAGAGCTCAGTGGCCTGGGTGTGTGCAACCTGGAGTTGGAGCCTGCTCTCCCCTTCAGCTTTCCTGAACTCACAGGGGCTTTCCCAGCCCTCTGACCAGAGCACAATCTCATACTAAAAGCTATCCTTGCCTGGCACGGTAGCTAACACCTGTAATCCCACACTTGGGAGGCCAAGGTAGGTGGATTGCCTGAGCTCACAAGTCTGAGACCAGCCTGAGCAAGTGCAAGACCCCGCCTCTAAAAAATAGCCAGGCGTTGTGGTGGGCAGCTGGTGGGCTCCCAGCTTCTTGGGAGGCTGAGGCAAGAGAATCACTTAAGCCCAAGAGTTTGAGGTTGCTGTAAGCTATGATGCCATGGTACTCTCCTGAGGGCGACAAAGTGAGACTCTGTCTCAAAAAAAAAAAAAGCTGTCTTCTCAGTCATAGGTGGTCCTCACCTTGTGTGTTCAACTTAAGATGTTTCATCTTTATGATGGTATAAAAGCCATTTGGTAGAAAACATACTTCAAGAACCCACATGACCATTATCTTTTTCCTTTTCAGTACAATATTCAATTATATTCAGCACTTTGTCATAAAGTAGGCCTTGTGTTAGATGATTTTGCCCAAGTGTAGGCTAATGTAAGGGTTCTGAGCACTTTTAAAGTAGTTTAGGCTAAGCTATGATGTCCAGTAGATTAGGAGTATTAAATGCATTTTTAACTTACGGTGGGTATCTCAGGACATAAGTCAAGGAGTAGCTGTATTACTTACGCCCATTCTGCAGTGTAACAAGGGAGGGTAAAAATTGTTGCAACTCTATCAAGTTCCCCACCATAAGGTGGGGCTGGAGCACAAACCCTCCTCCTGTAATTCCTTGGAGCCATGCTTCTTTTCCCTCTGCTCCCATCTCTGCAGAGTATAGCACTGTTCACCCTGGCAGGTACAAGACCTGGTAAGAAGTTAAAGTCAGAGTTGAAAGCTGCAAATCTGTTTTTTCAGGCTGGGGCTCCCTTGAGGTCAGAAGCCATGCCTGGCAGGATTCTCTTCTTCCTCTGGCAGTTGAAAGTCCTCCTGGGTGTGAGCTGTATGTGTCAGGCGGGGTTGAGGACATGAACCATCAGGCTTTGGGTCTTCAGGCTTTGCCCTTTGGGAACCTTTCCTCCTTGGTGAAGGCAGGCATCTAGGCTACTCATGAGTAATCTGTCTTTCTCACTCTGTAGAAAAGGTTTTATGGTCCACAAAGGCGGAAGATGATGTTTATGGGATTTATCCGACTGGGAGTGTGGTACAACTTCTTCCGGGCCTGGAATGGAGGCTACTCTGGAAACCTAGAAGGTGAAGGCTTCATCCTCGGTGGAGTTTTTGTGGTGGGATCAGGAAAACAGGTAAATTCCTATTGTTTACTTGTGTGATGGTGGGTTTATGCATCTACAAGCAAGAGACCCTGACCAGAGGCCTGGGGGGAGGGGTTGACTGTCTCTATTGGTGGGGGTCTCCCCATCTTCTAAAAATCTAGGGAATATGAGGAAAGGAAGAAGGGTAACTGTTTATTACACATTTGCTTTCTGCTAATATCTCACAACCTAAATCTATTCAAGCCTCACAGTGACATCATAAAAGTAATCTGATCATTTTGTAAAGGAGGAACTTGGGACTGCAAGGCAGTGAGCAACTGTAGCCAGGAGTACAACTCCTTGGTGGCAGTGCTGGGGCACTGCTGAGCCCACGTTTTCTTGACTTCAAGTTCCATTTTCTGTGCTTGAATGAAAGCATGGTTTTTATTCTGTTTATGAATTTCCTCCCTTGCAGTGTTCCCAGGCCATCAAGGATGAACCATAGGGAAAAATGAAAAGGAAAGAAGGAATAAAAACAGGCCTAATGAGGAAGACATGTGATTATTTATATGAGTGGAAGGAGGCAAGGAGGTGTGGAAGGAGACTGCCTTTCCTATGGGGTCTGGGTGACAGGGCTGCCTAGGGAGAGGTTACTGACTCTTCTGCACCAGGCTGTTGTAGGCTGTGGTTATAAGGGTCCAAGGTCGCCATGTATAACCAAGAGGAAGGTGTGGAGAGGAGAGATGAGGTCTCTGTGGACCTAAGGGGCACATGGGCACATGTTGGAGCATGGGCAGCCTCAAGCCAGGGTGACTCCCCACCCTGGAGGGCAGTGCCAGCAGAGGCTGGGTGGATGTTTAGCAGGGA